GCTGTTAATGTCCATGCCCCCCCAGCCCAACAGGCCCCGGCACACCAGAGGCCGCGGCAGCAGGGGTAGACAGCCAACACCCCCACCCCGACACCGGCCCACAAATGCGATGCCATGCAAACTGATTTTTTTTCCATAGAGCTTCCCTCAAAGTCACCCAGCAAGCATACTGGAGGAGAAAGTGGGATTTTAGAACCCAGGCGCAGTAATAGATCCTTATATACCTGTACCCAGAATCTCTGAACCGGCGTGCATAACAATAATGCGTGAAAATAATTATCAAGTTGATTGCCTGTGCACTGTGGACAGATATCAGATAGTGAATAATCGTTGACCTGTATAGTGCACTCTGTGGAGGATTTTGTATTGTATTAATTGTAAATTGGGGTTTTTAGTCATGTTAAAAGTTCTTAGACATATCTGAGCCCAGATGTTTTGTTCAAAACTGACTGATAAATCCTCCTCCCATTTAGTAATAGGAAGAGATATTGTATCATCCAGTTTAGTCAGTGTCCTGTATAATTTAGACAGAAGTTTGGGGGGGGTTAACTCTAGAAACTCTGATATATTAGTTGGAATTTTTAAACCTCCATCAATATGCTTACATTTATTTCTAATTATAGCTTTAATTTGCTCATATTCTAAGAATTTATTTTTGTTAATGCCATATTGCACATTTAATCTAGCAAATGTGATAAACTCTGTACCTTCAAACAAATGATCCATATATGTAATACCTTTATTCTTCCAGTATGGAAAGTTTATCACATTATGGTTTTGTAAAATGTCTGGGTTTTCCAGATGGGTGTACGACTGCACGGGATAAGTGATGACTTCGTTATTTTTAGAAATTCCCACCATGCTGTCAGGGAAGAGCTGATGTTAATATTTTCAAAACATGGGTGCCGTTTGATCTTAGAGCTAATAAACGGCAAATCTGAGATTATTATATTACTGCATAATTCCTGTTCTGTGTCTATCCAGGACTCATCTAAGGGATTATGTTTTATCCATTTAGAGATGTATTGTAATCTATTTGCTATGTAGTAGTGTTGGAAGTTAGGTAAATCTAGTCCCCCTCTGTCTTTAGTTTTCTGTAGTGTTTTTAAGCTGATACGAGGGGGTTTGTCCTTCCAAAGAAATTTAGAGATGGAAGAATCTAGAGATTTAAACCA